TGTGACCGGAAGGTCCTGGGTTCGCACTGCCGAAGGGTTTCAGATGAGGACGAAACAGTTTTCCAGTTTGGCATTTTCAAAATTATCATTGTGTGTAACCATTACTTACAAATACACCTATAATAATTAGTGAAGACGTCTACAATTCTGATGACAAATAGTTCCAAGCATATCAGATAGGTTTGTCGACAAGATGGTAGTGATATATGCTGAACATCTTGAAATACTTTCTCTTCTGATCTTCAATGCTATTTGAAGGAGGGATCAAGTTATAAGAAAGCTGATAATGATTACTGCAAGGCATAGTGCTAACTTGTGGTCTCTGAATGCTTTTCAGAGCCGTAAACGTAAGTGCATACAGTGTAGATGCACTTTTGAAGAGATTAACACTTGTGGAGTAGTATACAGATTGATAGATAGAAAGCAGTCAAAATTGAAATCAACATGTTAAGTTACTAATAGCTGCAGAATTGGAAGTGCCTATCCCTCAAATCTGTATTTAGTTTACATTGTGAACATGAAATAACCTCAGTGGACAACTTATTTAACTTTGAGCCAATCGCCAACCAATCGGAAAAATTTACTGTCCTCTGAACTGACCGAATTTTAATGTGGTTAAAAATGTATAAATATGATGTGTTTTTCCTTGATAAAAAATTCCATGGCCCATTTTCTTATACTTTTCCCATTGCACAGTTAGTAACTGGATAATTTTAGTGGCATCGCTTAGAATCGAGCACGATAGCTTAATTGTTAGCGTACGATTTACCGGTTGTTTTTCACTTATTCTAACTTTTGTGTCATTTTTATCCATGTCATTGTGCCTCCTGTTCACTTCATATATATGTAGTGTTGTGCAATTTAGAAATTTGAAGTGATGCATTACAGTGCACAGTTGTACTGTGCTAATTTATCTATATCCATCTACAAGTGTTTGCATGGGTGGTACAGTGGTAGAATGCAAGTCAACTACGCCTCACGTGTTTGAGGGTTCGATCCTCGGTCGATGCACTCCTAGACCTCACTGCTTAACTGTTTGAAGGCCCGGAAAGAAGGGGAAGTCGGGTGTGAGTGGGACTAGCAACCTCATCCCGTAAAAGTGAAATCACTGCTACTGAAACTTCAAAGCTTAAGACTGAAGCCCTATGTTCCACTCAAAATGCAAAGGAATCAATCAATAAGTATCATCTTTTAATTTGTCACTGACTAACATTTGCA